CTTTTGGAACTTTCAGAAGCTCGCTTCCATGCCGGTTCCAAAAAATCCTCTTTAAAAACACGTTGGAAGCTTGCGATTCAATTTTAAAAATATTGTGTTTTAAATAAATATAAAAGATAAAATTATTTTTGATAGGTCTCTCATTATAAAACAAAACAAAACTGAAAACTCCTACAGTTTTATACACTAACTTTTGTCTTCTATATATAAGTTACGAGAAATTGGCTTCTATATTAGTTATTGGTCATATATTTAATTATCTAACATCACATAAAATGAAATATAGTAACTAACATTCTAATTATGAGAAATTCCAATTATACCCTTAATATATTTATGGTAAGTGCTTTCATATCTCTTTTTCATCATTATTTTTTTATTACGTTCTTTTTCCTATATCAATTTGTTTCTCTTTAACTTTCAAAAAACATATTAAAAATTAATAGTTTTTTATACACTATTAGGAGAAAAAAAAAACTAATATCAGAAACATTTAAACCTTTCATTTCTATCTATTATATATTGAAATATAGTTAGTTATATATCTATCTGTAGTTAACTATATATCCAAGTATAGTTCTCTATATAAATAATTATTTTCACAAATACTTAGCTTTACGAGTTATATTCACGAGTAGTTCACTATTATCTATATAACTAAAAATATAAATAAGTACGTTTAAATGTAGTTGGTTATATATCCATGTGTAGTTGGCTATATATAAATAAATAGTTATCTATATATTTAATTTTATTCACAGAAAATCAGTTATACTTGTTATATTCACAAATCGTTCACTATTATTTATAAAATTATATAATTCACTATATAAAACATGTAGTTAATTATATTAAAAATAAAGTTCACTATTTTTTTAATTAAATAGTGAAATAGTTCACTATTTATGTCTATAGTATTTAATTTGTGATATAGTTCACTATATAGTTAATCTATTTAAATAATAATCAATTAGTATTAAACTTAAAGAAACATGTTTTTTTGAAAAAACGTAAAATACAAAAAAAAAATTATATATGCCAACTTAAAGTTTATATCTAGAAAAATAATGATATTTCTCTTTTTCTTACAAAACAAATTTGCATTAAATGTGATAATTCTCATTGAATGTTATAAAGGGTAAAATAGTCTCATTTTATTTATCTTTGTTAGTTAACAAATTTATAATATGCATATGTTACTTACCTAATTCACATGCTCAAACATGTTATTTCACTAATTAACCCATAAATTATCTTATTTAAAAAGTTAAAATAAGATTTTAATCATACATTAGATGTTAGAAGTAATTAATTTGATTAATTGAATGAGAATATTTTAGAAGATCTGAGTTTGGTGATTACAACATACAATGTGAAGCAAAATGATTTGATGAGTTGAAAAAATTGAGAATGAATATGGTGATTTAGTTTTTTTTTGTTTTGAATCATATTATTTTAAATTATTAATACTGAATTATATAAAAATGTATTGCATTTATGTACTTCTTAACATTTTC